TCATAAACTAGTACATTTTGATCTCAACTTCCTACCTCGTTTCGCTGTCAACTCTAATATTTAAACATTCGACCTTCTTGCCACTCTAAGGCTTCCCAAGCCCACCTTTTTTGCCACCCTCATATTAGATCAAAACTTAACCCTTCTATCACATAGAGATTTTCCAAATAGAAGACCACTACTAGCTATGTTAACCAACTTAGGGGCCGTTTGGTTACTGGATAAGGGCAAAATTAATACATGAATAATTTAGTTATTCATGTATTAATTTTATACCATGTTTGGTTTGTAAATAGAATCAAAATTATTCATGTATAAATTTTGTACAATGTTTGGTTGGTGTGTCTCCAAATGTTGTATAAAAATTATTCATGTATTGATTTATGTGGTGTTTGGTTGCATTTTTGTAATTCTACATAGCTAATACTCACATAACTTATGAGGAAATCTATGTATAATTTTATGCAAGGTAGAAGGTGGAATAAGTTATGAGGGTATTAGTTATACATGGATTAAAATAATAAAATTACATATTTACCCTTAATTTGTTTACTTAACCCCCACCCCCACCCACACACACACAAACAAACCCAAAACTGTTTGCCCCCGACTTCGACCCGAACTGTTTCATTTTATTATTTGTGCGCATTATATTATAGATTTCTGCAGCGCATCACACTGTAGATTTCTCGCCCCCCCCCCACACACCCACCCACAAGGGTCTGTTGCATTTTATCTTGGATACAAGCTTTATAATTTTCTATTTAAAAAAAAAACGTATATTAATTTACAATAAATTAAACAATCAATAAGTAATAATATATGTATTATAATTTCTACATAACTAAATCCTACATAACTAATATTTGTATAATTAATACCTACATAATCAATACATGCATAACTAATATCTACATAACTAATACCTGCATAACTAATACCTACATAACTAATACCTGCATAATTAATACCTACATTACTAATACCTGCATAACTAATACATACATAACTAATACCTGCATAACTCTAACCAATAACCAAACGGCCCCTTACTACTCTCCCTCAAGTTCTCATACCAACATCCTAGTTCTTGACCCATTTTAGTAAATCATCTGCGAGACTTTTACTAAACCAAATTGACTCAAATTTTCCTTATCAGATATGTTTTAAATACTGAGTAATCATAACTAGTCCTAACATTTAAATTATGCACCAGACCTCTGGTCATTAGTCTGGCCTAGTCACCACAACTTAACAAAATAAATAATATATAATTATAATCACAAGTATAACATAGTTCAAACTCTCAATCCTCACCCTGAGTTGATATGCATAATAAATATGAATAACCTTATTTTTTGGAGGGTTGGAAAAGGGGATCTGTCATTTTGGTTTGATAACTAGTCCAACTTGGGACCGCTTTATCTTCTGTACCCTAACGACAACTCTCATAGTTGTATCAACCTCAACTCTGTCTTAATAGAGGGAATTTGGCATTGGGATACTTTGCAATACCAACTTTCAACAGAAGATAAAAATAGGATCAGCAATATGGGTGTCCACTTGGAAAACAACAAAGAGGACTATCCTATTTGGACTGATACATCTACTGGGGAATTCAACACGAGCTCGGCCTGGAATAATAGTAGGCATAAAAGGGGGATCAACATTATGGCTAAAAACATATGGAACAAGGGCATCCCTTTCAAGACGACGTTTTTGACTTGGAGGGCAATCCACGATAGACTTCCAACTGATGAAAGAGTTACTAAAAAGTTTGGAATTAGTATCGGTCCTGGATGTCATTGTTGCACTTCTAACGATTCTAACACAAATATTGAAAATGTAGATCACCTTTTTTGTTTAGGTCTACAAGCTAAAAGAATCTGGAAGTTTTTACAGGGTCGCTGGGAATTGGTCATATGCATAATACCCTCAAGATGATATTACTCAGTTGATGGAATTTGAATACTAAAAACCCCATTGCTGCTTTCATATCTAAAGCTCTACCCCCAATTATTTGTTGGGAACTCTGGAGAACTAGGTGTAGCAATAAATTTGAGGCTGTAAAGCCTTCTTTTTTCAGAACCAAAACTAACATCACTTACACTCTATTGCAGGTTACACAGAAGTTTTGATCAAGCAAAGATAGGGGAAAGCTGGAATAGCCTCTGTCAAATCTTTGAAGCGGACATCAATCAAAGAACTTCCATCAGAGTCAAATGGCTCAAACCACCTAGAAATTTTATTAAGCTCAACAGTGATGGAAGTTGCGTTCAAGGAAGTTGTGGTGGAGGAGGGCTAATCAGAGACAACGAAGGCAACATGATGTTTGCTTACTCTTTAGGTCTAGGCCAAGGTACTAGCAACATGACTGAAGTCCGAGCACTACTATATGGTCTTAAATGGTGTGTTAGTAGAGGTTATGATAGGGTTTGGGGAGAAACAGATTCTCTACTCTTAGTTAAATGCATAAATGGAGAATGGAGAACGCCTTGGAGATTGGACAAATTGATTCAAGAAGCACAACAAATAGTTGAATCTAATGGATTTATCATCAGTCATTGCTTCAGGGAAGCCAACAAACTTGTTGATATATTAGCATCCAGGAGTTATAGTGTTGATGCAATACATGAGTTCAACTCTTTCTCTGATCTCCCGAGGGAAGTTAGGAGATTAATTAACACAGATAGATAGGAGCTCCCTTTCTTCAGAATGCAACAGGTTAAACCTTCTAATTTTATTTATGAACCCTTTTGAATCCTCTTTGTCAAGGAGTCAAGTTAGTAGAGTAATAGCTAACTTAGACCCCCCCCCCCCCTCTTTTTTGATGTTAACTTGTAGAGTTTATCTAACTCTAGTTCTACCCCAAGATCTTGTATTAAATTTGGTATACCAAACTTCAAAATGTAACTTTTTCATATCAATGATCATTGGAGGCAGTTTATATTAAAAATAAAAAATAAAAAAATGAATAACCTTAGCACAACAAGTCATACCTGGTTCATCACACCTTTCAAGTAATCGGACCATCAAAGATTCCTAAAACATTATTTACAGTGTTTAACATGAAAATCTGATCTACACAAGAACCATCTTAGCATTTAAACACAAATTCAGTTACCCATGGACCAATATGTAACAATCTCATCATAAAAAAGTAAATTCATTTTTCTCATGGAACGCACACACTAACTATTAGTATATTAATGTGATATCCGAGTCAATCAATATTAGTGTACTGGTGTGGTATCCGAACTATATATATGTATATATATATATATATGATTTTCTCATTATTGATTATATTTTTCACTAATTTGTTTTTTCCATGTGGTTTTAATGCATTTGAGTTGATGGTCTTTCGAAAATAACTTCTCTATCTCCTCGAGGTAGTGGCAATGCTTGTGTACACTCTACCCTCCCCAAACTCACATAGTGAAATTACAGTAGATATGTTATTATTGTTATGAAATAATTTATATCTATTTTATATAAAATTAAAAATTAAAAATTAAATTATATATAAATATATTCTATAACAATACTTAGGGGTCATCTGGTTGGGAACAAGTTATCCCGAGATAAGTTATTCTGAAATAAGTTATTTCATCCTGCATATGTGATAACTTATCTCATCACTAAGGTATAAATAGTGAGATAAATAATCTCAAGACTGCCTAATACGTCCAATCAAATACATGAGAAAATGATCCTACATTTTATTTTTGAAATTATTATACCTTATACTCTCTCCGTTCACTTTTAATTGTCATGGTTTCCTTTTTTAGAGTCAAACGATAAGAAGTTTGACTAACATTTTATAATATATTTTTTAATCACATTGATACGTAAAAACATTGCCACTTATAGTATTTTTCGTATAGTTTTTGAATATCTAATTTTTTTAAAAAAATATTGAATTAATATAATCTAATTTAACTTTAAAAATTAATTAAATTAACTTTCGAAAAACAGAATTGGCAATTAAAAATGAATAACGATACCTTATACCTCGATTCAATAATTAATTCCTACGTCATAAATAGCAATGAAAGGACCCGTTGATAAGGACAAGTGGTAGGAGTAGTTTAATGCGGGAGGAAGGAAGGCGCAGACGTAGGACTCGGCGTATGGAATATGCTATCCCTCCACCAATCAGAATCATTATTCATTATTCATTATTCATAACTTACCCTCGCCTACTCCTATATGAATTTTTTTGGATATTCAATAAAATAATTTATTTTTATTTATAGTCTATATAGATGGTTAAGAGTATTAAACTACAAATTTAAGAATAGTTTTTAGTTTCTTTTTAATACTATTGTCTATTAGATTAATTAATAGGGAAACTTACATAGATATACAACATTAAAAAAATATTTACCATTTATAGCAATAACATTTTTTTCTCATTTGATCACTTTAACACATTAATAATATAATTTTAATACATATTACAAAGAACAATTTATTATTCACATATACTACAAGTTTTATTGATTACTATTACATTTATCACATAATTTAATACACTTATAATACAATGTGTCAATTTATTACCAAACAAACATAATATATTTTAAAAATAATTATAATACATATATATTGCATACATAATTCACGTTTCATACATATTGCAGATTTAACATAATATTACTAAAAATAATAATAAAATTAATAATTATTTATTAAAAGATATCATCCAACTAATTTTTTCCTAATAATATGTCATAAATTGAAACGAAATAAAACAGAGTTTTCTCTTATTTTTTAAGTATGTCACAATCAATATGAATAGGGAGAGAGTGAGTCATTTTAATGATAAACCAAACACACTACTCTTTTGTCTTGCTCTACCGCTTACTTTCTTGATTGGAGAAAGAGACTTGAAAATTCTAAAATCTCAAGCTTAAGCAGAAGCAATTGAATTGTAAGTTTTTCTCAATATTTTTTATTTTTTTTCTCTTTTTACAAATCAGATTCTTGTTTTTCTTCTCTGGATTAGTATATAAATTGATATAAGTGGGTACTAATCAAGAAATGGAAAATTTGTTATAGTTTTCAGCTGTGGCTGTCGGTTTTCTTGTGTTGAATTTTCTAGTAGTAATTGTTTTGGATCTTTATTTCTTTCTTCCTTTCTCCGATCGGAATTTCTCTTATGTTGGGCTAATTCTTCTGTTTCTTCTGGTGGACGGTAGGTAGTTGATGTTTGTTAAGTTTTTAGCTTTGTTTAATCTGTTTTATTAAAATATATCTATGAAAGATTAAGTAAAAAAATTTAGCCATTAATCCTCATCTGCTAAATTCAACTTCTTTGTCCATTTTGAGTAAACAAAGCTTTTATTGGACTGTTTAAATAATTTTTGTTTTACTTAAAACTGATATGAAATTGTTGGCTAAACATACTTGAAATAGTTTATAGATGTGTTCAAGCTTTAGAAAGTAGTGAGATAAACCACCAGTCAAGGCATGTGAATTCTTCATTTTTTGGTTCAGAAATTACTTTTTCATCTTTATGTTATGACTAGATTTTGTTGCCCGTGCTATGCACGGGCCCAATAACATAAATGGTATGTTTTGGGGCTAATAACGAAGTTTTTGAAGCGATTGTTTGCGTGGATAAAGGAATAAGTTTTTTTATCACAAACCTGTACTTTCTTTGACGCTATTCAAGGCACAATAAGACTACCCACATATAACATTTTTGAACAATTTTATGTTGTCAATTATCACGATTTAATTTTAAGAATCAGTCAATTTTTTTTTCTGTTTTTTTAATAAATATTTTAAGTT